GTGCATCACATTTCACTCGCTTCTACAACGTTCCCGACCTATAGTTTTCCTTCACTCTTTACTCGTTTTTTCTTTTTTTTAAGTACGTCATTTTGTTGTTTAGATATTGTTGATTCTTTGCAAGATAATTTGAGCTCAGTGCAGAGCATTAAAGTCATCTTAGGATGAATTCAACGCTTCGAAAGATCATGAATCCGCCATCTATTATCGTTGCAGTGCAAGTCAATTAATACTAGAATCACTATGCTAACCAGTTTTACGCTAGGCGAAATAATGCTACAATTAATAAGCATCATATTCAAACAGCTGTAGCATTCTTCTTTCTTCCGTTCACTTTATCTTTGTAATAATTTTTCAAAGCATCCATTCGGGGTTCTGTTGGTACTGTGATTGCTTCTCCCAATGGACTCCTGGCACCAAATATCCCATTTCGTACAGCGACTGGATAAGCAGGTGGTGGAGGACGTAAACTTGACGAGGATCCGGCAATCTGAACCACATTCCGCGGTGATGTCACACTGCGTTCCGGACTGTTGCGTTGCTGTAACGGTGAACGTTGCTGGTAGTAATGAATATCAGCTGACACAAGAGGTTTGCTAAAAATAATCTCCAATAGAAACATTTTAATGGAAATTTTCAGCACTAGATAATGAAGATGCTTTGAAAGGCAAGCTGAACCTAGGAATTTGAGAGAAAAGAAAGGTATTCACTGAAAGAAAATCTACCTCTTTTCTACACTAGCAGGACCAGAAACTGGGAAAGTGGTAGTGAATCGAGAAGTGCTCAGAGGTGAGTGCCGGGTTACTGGTTGACCAATACAAATTTCACGAACCGTATCGTTGACTGCCAGTTGTGTTGATCGGAGCTGGTGATACCCCATGGAACTACAGGATGACTGCCTATAAAGAAAATAATAGATTGCAACTGTGACTGAAGATAAGGCATTTAAACTACAAAGGCATCAAAACTGCACTACAGCTGATGACTTTTTGACTGTTGAATGGATTTTGAACCGATGAAATGCAGAGAAGACTGCGTAAAACTTGGACCAAACTCTTACACAATAACTACCACTTTTTCCCGATGTTAATTTTGGAAAGCTGAATTTCAAAGAAGAAACCTTTCCTTCATAGCTCGTCTGTCCAAACTTGCTGTTGCAAAACCATCGTTATATGATCGAGATGTCGGAAGTACTGCGTAACGCAGCGGTGTTTTTCCATCATTCAACAATAAACCAGTAACAGGAGGACTATTACAACAACTACTGCTACTTTGCCGATACGTCTCCAATGAGGAATTCATCACCTTCGATCCAAGACATGATGAAGATGGGGTTTCATCATGCTGTTGTTGGTGTTGAATTACCGCTTGTCGACTGGTATCACTACTTCCTGTTCCTGCTCCTATTGTACAAAGATCCCGGCTATTTTCCTGCAATTTCTCATCCCTTCGTATACCACTAAAAGAGATTCGAAAAAATTTCGACAGAATTTCCCATATTTTTGAAGAAATCAATTTAAAAAAACCTGTCCGAAATGGAATTTCCAGGAAGGTTGCTTCAAGGCGGTCCCGTAAGTTGTAATGTTTCTTGACGATCCACTGCACCCAACAGCGTAATTAATTCGAGATTCATATTTATCCCTATTCTTAGTTGTGACTGATCCTTGTTCTGGTAAATCGTGATCCGAGAATGCACGCTGCACTCGATCTTTGCAATTAGTGTGGTCCTGCATATGATTGTTGAAGTGGAATCCAAAAAATGTGGATCAAATTCAAAAAAATTTCTGAAAAACCACCACTACATAGATTTTACAAATGTATGGGCAATGCTGCGTAGGTTAAAAAGAAATCTCAGTTCATTTGTTGCAAACGAAAGAAACTAGTAAAGTCCTGAAAAGCCCTATTATTGCCAGGATATTATGAGTAACTTACATTCAGTGTAGGGTAATTCATTTCTCTGTAAGAACTTTTGTAAGAGACACACGACTTATAACCAACATTTTCATATCTGAAACAATAAATTATTTCCATTTAATGGTGTAGCTCCAACCCAGTCCATGCAGGATTCATAACTGCAGAGTTTGCAAATGATTGCAAAAGAGGAGTTCCCAAACTAATGATATAACAGCTAACAGTCTTCATGTTACGAAAAGCGAGATGTTTATGTATACCGCAACTGCAAATGCTAAAAGTCATATCATCTCACCGGTTTAGCTTTTTCCACATTCTGGCTGCAATGACCACAGGAACAAAGGAACTAACGGACACTGGTCATCTACGACTTGATTTTTTGGAATTCAATTATTTTTCCTTGTGCTTGACTTACACTGGTGTATGATGATTTTCAGCGCTCCGGTTCTTCAGCTTCTCCCAGGATATTTCACGTTCAGGAAGAAAATAACAGGTTTGATGAGGAAGTGGAGGTGGTTCACGCTTTGAAGTTCTGGAATCAAAAGACGGGTTCCCAAGTGATAAGCCACATTCGGCAACAGTAGTAAGAAAAGCATTATTGTTATTGAGATGATGAGCAGAATGAATGCTGGAGCAGGTTGATGTTGACGGATATCGTTGGACACACTCCCTAAACATATTATATATTCAGTGAATGAAATTCTTAAATTCCAAGTCTTCGAATTCAAATCCCAAATTTCTCAGACCTCAGAATTCCAGTTTTTGATCCCTAACACGAAATTAGATCTTTACCTATTTAGACCTAGTTCTGTTCGACTTCAATCACTTACAATTTCAAATGAAATCTAAGCGAAGCACAAAACTAAATGAAAACGATTTTACGTGGACGCTCTCCTCTTTCCATCATCATCATAATCATCATCATCTGCTTCACTTCGTTCGTTTTCCGTAGAGGTTAGTAAATCCGGGAACGAGCCTCGTGGTGTAGCTGGGCAAGATTTTGTGATTAGTGAGTTCGAATCATTTCGAGTACCTAACGATGTCGATTCAATCTGATAATCTGAACAGTTTCGCCAGGGTCCTGGAAATTCTAACCCCATAAGCCATAAATCAAAACAGATGATAAACGACAAAAACTAACCAATAGTACAGTGGCAATCATATAACTGTGAACAATGTTATGATTAAAACTAATTGCAAGAAAAATTAACCTTTACTTCCAGAAACATTACGAGTAGAACTGCTAACATCAGGTTTACTAGCCGAAAGTCGGAGCTGCGTGAGACCAAATTCGAGTCCCCGTAATTTTTGAGTCGCCGCTATCAAATCTTTTTGGCGTTTTTTCCTCACCGACTTATTGGTTGTTTTATCTTTAGCTAGACGTTCTGCTGCAGCAACAATTTTCCTGTGTAACTCGACATCCGCTTCCAGCATAGAAATTCTATCATTCTAAAGATAACATAACGAAATTTACATGGAAGTTGTTTTCAAACACAGAACATTTCTGCAACGATGAAATTACTATGTTGATTCCAATATTATAATAAAATCTGAAAAATAAGATGTAGAAAACTGACACTATCTATGGGTCTCTTAAAAACTTCTTCGCTGAGCGAGAAAGCTGTTCCAACACGTCGCTTCACTTTCGGCTCCTCCTCTCCTGGCATTAGCGTTTTGTAAATCTCTTTTGGTAATTCACCCGTGATTTCCTGTAAAACAGTGGCAATTTAAAGGCTATAGTATGAAAAAATTTGTTGCATTCAGCTTAACTTGCTAGTTTCTAAGTATTTACCGCTTCTTTGATGCACACTTCCCGTAATTCATCAAGTTTTGCCAGAAGTTTCTCCTCGAGTTCATTTTTCCTTTTCTTCAACTGTCTGTATAATTCAACTTCTTTTTGCTTCTCTTCTTGTGTTTTTTCTGCAAATAATAATTGAGATGAATCAATTATAAAAACACATGGCAGAAAAATGGAAGTTCTCACATCACAATACCTCGGTTTTGAATATCGTTCAATGATGACAGTGAAACAAGAGAACCATCGGATACTTTTGCTGACGGCATACTATTCGACAACAGCGAACTGCAAGGTAAGTGATGTTTTAATAATAAAACTTCTGATACGATGCAGAATTATTATTGGCCATAAAATTTCAAAGAGTTAAATTCAAGTTCGAAAAAAAAAGGAATGAGATAAATTTAGACCTATAAATGAAAACAGCAGAAAATATTATAGTGCAAACATGTTGTAATTTAGAACATTAGTTAAACTATTCCCGAATAAAAAATTGATCAACACCGGCCATAAATTATTAGTCCACAAAAGCAGTATTGAAATTGACTAAATTCTGCTAACGATTTGGCTGTGAAAGAAACCCACAAATCCTCTGAAATTCCAAGCAATTCCAATCTGTTATACTTCTTTGCATATACTGGCACATATATGCGTGAAAATATCAAGAAAAAGTTGTAGTTGATTGGAGATGGGTTCACTGAGCAATACAATAAGTCGTACTGTCAGTTTTAGTTTAATTATCTGTACGGTACATGGCTCTTCCATTACTTTAAAGTTTGAGAGAATTCCTTTCGTCAATAAGCCAACAGTTGATAGATTTAGAATTTTATTTGAAAAAGGTAATGATAGCGTGTTCATAAAGCAAAAGAATGCAGGATTTTTGTCTTAGGAACTCCTTAGAGAATCAAAAAATAAAACGAAAAAATGGACAAGGAGAGAGGAATGAGTACAAGTTTGCTAGACCAAAGAAAGGTATTTTTCAGAAAATCACACAAAAGTCACTTGTTAGCTGTAATTAATTCCGTGGTTGCTCCAAAGCGTTAAAGGATGTTTTGAACCAAGAACACTTCAGATCCTGCGTCATTTTATCTATTGGCTCCAAATATTCTCTTCGCTGGATGAACTACTTCCAATCAAGTTTCTACCGCCAAACCTTGATTCTTCATGAATTGGCTTCAACAGCTGATTTTAAGTCATTATTTCTTCATCTCAGAGGTCCACGATGCGTAAAACAAACTTCTAGAACTAAAAAGGATGTACGGTTGGCTCCGTCTTGAAGATGGCTTCGATTCATAATTGGTCGTTGCGGATATTCCAAATTCTAAAGCATGGATTCCAAATATTCACCGCTGATTCGGTGAATATTTGGAATCCAAGAAAGCCAAGAAAGGGGAGCAATCAAGGAATGGAAAAAAAAAAAGTACGAAAAGTTCTCAGATGATATGTACAGATTGTGACGGTAAAGTGAAGAAACCTGATAACATGAATGCAACAACAAAAAATGATGATCTATTTTGTACGCATTTAACACATGGCATTCTCACAAATGTATGACTACTTCAGTGAGCCAAAATAGTCATATATTTGTGAGGGTACCATGTGTCATTTATCAGTATTACGGAAAAAGCTTACTTCAAAGAGGGCAGTGACGATGCAACAGAAGAATGACTTATTAGACGACAAAGCTTCTCGCCCAGTTGCTTCAGTTCAACTCCAGGATCATTCGACACAATCCTCTGAAAGTAACGCACAGTTATCCATCCAACCGGGTAACACCCTCAAATTATGCCATCGATCTTTAAACGTTACAGCATAAGTGCCCCACCCGCTTATTTCCTCCCCTCCATTTGTCATCTGACCGATAGACAATCCAAAAAGCGATTGTAGCATTTCCGCTATTATAAGTTCTCTATCAAGAAATATCTTAACAATATATCTTAACAAGGAAATAAAAAATAGCTCCATCAGAACTTTTCCTCGGGAAAAAGCTTTCTTGGTATAAGGAAACTAATTTGAAACAATAGTGAATGCGGAGTTAAACACTAAGATACCACTATTTTCGGCAAACGATAATCATTAAGGAAGCAGTCCATTTATCTCCTCCCTTTTTCTCTTACTCGTCCCTCTGTGATGAGGACTGTTGACAGTTAATCGCAAACTAAATTCATTCCCCACATTAAGACCAGTACAGTATATTTCACTGAATGACGTGTCAACTGAAAGGAAAGCTGAAGTGCTGAAAAATAAGACAACAAATAAACAAATTTGGTGTGCAAAGAAAATGTGGAACTCATTCAGAAAATCCTTTGTCCATCTGTTCTCCTTTTTCCCTCTCCCCCCTCCATCCATATCTCTCTCACTCCAATAAAGATTACTAACGACTAACCAACTTCGTCTGGTATCGTAGTAAATTCTTTTAGTACAGTTCTGCTTGCATAAAAGTAAAATTAAATAATTTACAACAAACTCTCAAATGAAATGTAGAAAACGAATGGTCTGGAAAAGACGGCAAGCGCAATTTTTCATAGGGACAAAGAGCAACTGCACTCTTTTCCAACGACACATTTCCATTCAGGCAACTCTTCTTTTCACTATTCAATACCAAAAGCTCAAGTCTTGCAACAAGCTAACTTTCATGACAAGATTATTGGCTTTCTCATTCGTATATCTAAGAAAAACCTATTCACCTACTTAGCATGTCTATAACATCACCATAATCATGATAACAATCGAGAAACTAACGATAGGAAATGGAGCATGGAGAAGATCTGGTGGTGAATAATTCAGACACTTACCACAAGCCAACTATTTCACCTCATACAAATGATCACGGCAACTAACAATAGGAAAATTTTCAATTTTGATGCTATGGCATGGATTGCAACCAACGCAACATGCACCACATCTTCTGACTACAACGATGGACGATTGGATTGTTTTGTTCATTGCTGGTATGATATATCGTCTGATTACGTGCGTATATATAATATATATGTGTTGTTGAGAGGCTGAGAGACAGTGAAATTTTGATTGAATCAAAACCATCCACTGTATCGCGTGGTACAGTGTGTAGTAGGACAGAATGGTGTCAACGATCGTCTCTGTGTGGGCTATTATTGTTTCCGAGTGTGGTGGTTGTTGTTTTCGCAGATGACTCGCTCTTCTACAAGTGATCGTTTGCTTGTGTAACTTGCTGCTTTGAGTGGGTGGTCGATTATGGAACGGTTTCTCTGGAGTATTGGGATTATTCGTTAACCAACCAAATGCCCCAACCTTTTTTTGTTGATTTGTATCTCGAATTATTGGATGTTTATATATTGCGAAATGCTCTATATTAAGCACCCGCAACATACTTTTGAGGATAGTTGGCTGACACTTCATCCGAAATAGCTGTTACAGAGAGTCCAATGAAATCTTGCATTATTGGAAACAACAACCGTAAGTGTTCCAAGGTGAGATTAAATTAATGTCAATAATAAAACTTGTGAATGCCACTCAAATGCCTACTCATTATGTTAAATGAAGGTTTACATTCCAAATAACTGCTGAAACTCAAAAATGCGATCAAGCATTATTTCATATATCACTAAAACTAGGTAATGCAACACAATCTCAGTAAGTCGACAGGAACACGAAACATATAACATTACTACTGGGATTAAGTAGTACAGTCAGTAAGCATATTCAACAAAACTATCATATCATGTCAGTTATCGGGATGGTTTACAGACTTCGCTGTCGCAGCCTGAAAGGACTGCAGTACACAGCTATCTTTTCGTCCTACTAAAATTACTGAAAGTCATCGCGGTATATAATTCATTATGATTCCCATTCCCGCGTGAATTTGCTTATAATTTATCCGCTGGTTACTACCTGAAATGATTATCCTACCTATTTTAATCACCAAAATCATCTTTAAAATATACGATTTGAGAAGCAACAACCATCAACAGTTCGAAAATTAAATGCTGAATCCAAGAATTTGAGAAAAGTGTGAAAAAAGCAATGATAACACCGGAAAAATACAAAAAATAGTATTTGATATCTCCCCTCGGTACTTTTATCAGTTCTCCGGAATTTTGAATGAGTTAGTTAACAATATTAGCTTAAAATACTTCAACTGGATGCTTCAAATCAGTGAAAATATGATAGACAGACTTATTTTGTTAATAAAATATATTGACGGTAATGACGCGATGTACGGATACAAACACTAACAAAAATATATGTAACGGGTAAAACGTGCTTATTGGTTGAAATATTCATTCCCTTTCTCTCAAAGTTACTGTATAGTTTAGCGCGGAGAAAGAACCATACAATGTTAACATCCACAGTCTTCCATACCGTTTTATGATAACAAACCAATTTTTTTTTGTACAATGCAAGAATATCCTTCATTTGCGACAGATTTTAGAATTGGGTGTGTACGTCGATGCTCTAATCAATTATAAAACATGCTCTCGATGCTCTAATCAATTAATCTTCGATGCTCTAATCAATTATAAAACACGTCAATAAAAATTCACGGCGACAGCTACACACAAATAATGATATTCGACGCACTCATTCTACTCATCAAGAAGCACAACAAATCCACTGTCCTTGTTAGCATAAAGAAATCACAACGAAAATGGAAGTAGAAAGAATAACCATAGATCAACATTACTTTGGAAAAATTAATGGATATAAAAGCAACACTAAAAAGACTACGTCTGAGAAAATTTTATTTCATTAATTTTAAAAAAATACTGAGTGGGAAGATGTTGCACTCACCTTGGCACTAATACATGTCCGTTGATCCAAATAAAACTGATGGAGTGAGATTGCTGTTGACCAAATTGTTTTGCACAAAAAGTTAGTATCACAGTAGAAAGCATGTACTTGTACAGCAGAAGATGCAATTGATCGCCTGGATATAGACACTCTAAAAACAGTTAAATCACTTCTAAAATCAAGTACATCACAAACCGCTAGGTCTAATTAACACACATTTCTTTAAATAATAAATTATAATCCTATCACTAAAGAAAATACTGTATGTCTGAAAATGTAGCAAAGATTCACTGCTGTTTCCTCAAAATGAAACCTACTGAGTCGTGGGATCTCTCACAGCTTTTGCTAACTCATCATCTGAATCCAAACAACCCGTACTATCCAAAATACTGTTTGCATTGCCGGATGATTGTATCACCCTAAAAATTTTCCAAATCACCAATAAATGACGGCACTTAATACTTTCAGGAAGGAACTCATCCGTACATTCAAAAAAGTAAGAAACAGACGATACATGAAATTGAAATCGAAATCAAATGACAAGGCACAATTCCGAATGGGAAAAATGAGGTACATAAGAATCATCTTTCTACCAGAAGCAGTGGTAATAGTAATAGTAATAGTAATAGTAATAGTAATAGTAATAGTAATAGTAGCAGTAGTAGTAGGAGTAACTAGTAGTAGTGGTAGTAGTAATAGTAATTTGTTGTTTTGATATATTTAAAGCAAAAATTTTCCGTTTGTCACAGGTTTCTCTGCAACAAACAATTGAAGCATTAGGAGCTAGGTCCTTCGCACGAAAAACCCACAAATAAAACAATATGCATAAGTAAAATAATATATGTTCTAGAACTCAACCGCGTATTCCGTACTTCGATCGAGAATTTCCGATCCCGGTAATAAAGATTGTCCAACAAAGACCAATTGAAAATCTAAAACAGAATCCGAAAGAGTAATCGAAAAGCCAGAAAGCATCTATTTGCATAATGACTTGCATTGTAACATATGTCGTCACGCTTTTTATGAAGTTAAGAAAATGCATCATATTAATATGAGCATGCTAGGTTACCAACTGTGCATAATTGTTGGTTTCGTGAAATACTGATAAAGTGAAAAACATAGGTATAATCCAAAAACTTTGCTAATAAACAGGAGGAAAAAAGTAAATGGAATATTTTAAGCTTGCTCTCTGCACATTTCAATGAACAATTAAGAAACGGAAGTTAATGCTGAACGACTTTAAAACTGGGATAATAAAGAATGAAGAAACGCACAACTATGAATTAGCAGTAGGTAGGAACCTTTTTTGGTTTGGAGATGTCAGCTGGATCATACTGAAATATCCCCTTGTTGCTGATGCCAACAGTCCACGGCTGGCCAGCTTTATCGCGCACTTGATAAAAATGACATCCATGAGTTGAAGATCTTTCTGCGGTTTGTAAAAAGCTGCAAACGGCATCGCTTATTCATTCATGCATCTGTGTCAAATCCATCAGTGTTTACTTGAAATGTTAATTAGTAAAGAGAAGATAAAAAAATCACTACTTCAGAATTGCAACTCCTTTAGGCACGCCACTGAGATCCTTGTACAATTCGATCACATTCTTTTCAACATCCCCTAATGATATATCGTATGTGTGCAGTATCCCACTTGGAATTGGTATAAGCTCTGCTAGTGCACATCGTGCTTTTTCATCACTGAAAATGACTGGATCAATTGCGCTTTCGTAAACTGTCATTTTAATCCGAAATCTTAAAAAATCATGAATCAGTAAACAATAATGCCCGTTGCTTACTCGTCATTGCCGAGACTCACCTTACCATGTGTCAACAATTTTAGAAACGTAATGAACAAAATGTGTCGCGCAGTATAAAAAACGCTTAAAGCATTCAACAGTTCCTAATTTACGTAAGACCTTCATCAAATGATATTTTTTAAAGAAGCATCACATCATCAGCTAAAGTATGACGCTCAAACACTACCTCACATAATTGCCACAATATATTTGTAGGAAGCTGGATGCAATCTTATAATATTCCAAATCCGTGAATTCCAGTAAACCCTGGAAATGCTTTGTAGTATCCTGCGCAAATATATCCCAAAGCAGAACTAAGCTGGTAACAAAGCTTTTTGATCTGTATTTAACAGCTTTCGTTAATCTAATGTGCAAAATCTGCATGATTAGTAATGAAAATGTAAGAGCAACAATATAGAGATGAATTTACTTTAACTAATCGCTTGGCTGTCTCCAAAAAATAGAGTTCAACAGCTGATGGATGACACAGAGTGAGTACTGAATCAACAAAGAACCTAAAAAGGAATAAATGTAAAGGTTTAAAAAAAAAAAGAACAGTATCATTTGTTTGATGATGAAATTGACACTGCTTGATTAAGAAACATTATCTCTGGAAGTTTAATTCCTCTTACTTTACGCTATCACTTGTCATCAAAACACTTACTTTACAGTGCCATTTAACTTCAAAATTCCTACTTTACACTATGGTGTAACTCCAAGACGGCATGTAACTGATGAGATTTTCGAGGGATTTCATATTCCAAGACCCGTCTATCCGTGGGCAACCAGTGATACTGTTCGCTGAAAATATTGCAAAGTCTAAGCAATGAGTGCAGTAGCAAACATACTTAGCAGACACAATTTCCTTTTCAGTTCCACGAACAAAAAGTGCAATTTACTGCATAAATCAGCTCTCTTCTACTTCAGTTCCTAATTTCGATTTGAAAGCAGTCATATTTGATCGATTATGTTTGATTATACTGCCTCCGGTTACTTGCTTTCCTACTTCTCACACAATTATTTTCTTGTTTTCACCTTCTTCTTGTAGTTCACCTCACTAGCATGAAAATCATGCAGCAAGATGGTCTAATTACTACTTAGCACATAAATCGGTTTTCCAGTGGATGCGGTCCAGTTTTAAATTTGCCGACAGAGAATTCCACATGATGGTTTCGCATTGGCTGGTATATAATAGTCTCCCCACGAGCTTCTGGGACAAGTCCAATTCAAGCTAACCATTGGCACCGGAGTAGACATCACAATGGAACGGTAAGTATGGCTTCTTGAAGTTGAGAAAAAAGTAGAAGGATATTGTTGCATAGAATATTTGAGATCGAAAACATGGACCAAAATAAACATCAAACATACAGGTGATCTACATAAGCTAGTCCAAAGTACTGCTTGTCGGCATCTTTCAAGGCCACATGACTAGCGATAATATTCAATAATTCATGGACAACTAATCGTGGTTGTATAATAAGCTCCAGTTGTTGTCCATCTAGTAAATGTATTACGGAACGTTTACCATCGTGCATCTGCAACAAATTCTTCTTTAGGACTGTACTAGCAATAGCACTGATTATTTGTCTCCCTTTATATATCGTCCAGCAACTACAATTAACACACTTCAATCCGTTCATGGATTTGACCGGATTTCAAGGTACTAGCACGAAATTGAGGCAACCACATGGTCAAGCATAAATCATTCATGTGATATCAAGGTAATTTTGGAGTGTCTTTTTAATGCGGGAAATCGGAGTCAAATCTGTCTCTTGGTTTACCTTATCCAGCATCGTGTACCGCAGTATTTTAATCCACTGCAGAATACAGGAATTCCTGGTTCAGTTCTGGGAAATCCTACAATTTTATCCTTCACTCTCAATAAGTGATTCTACCTTCCACAATACAGCAACAGAGCTGGCAGAATGACAACTGCCAACATCACTTTATTTATTTGTTTCGCTATTGGTCAAGGAAGTATGACATTGACGGGACGACAGAGCAGACCGAACCGAAGTGCAACGTGCAAAAAAGAAGACAGAAAAAAAGGACAGATCGATACCCCACTTTCACAAGGATACAATAGAGAGCAGCCGTAAAAACGTTACGAGGGAGAAGAGAGAAGAGAAAGAAAGAGAGAGAGAGAGAAGGGGAGATAGAGGGAAAAGAGGAATAGATATGGACAATGCGATGAATACTGCCGTCCGTTAACGAATTGTAGCGTTGACCTTTGTCCACTATCCTTTTTCCGTCAACCTCTTAACCTCTTCTCCTCTTTTTTCCCATGCTTCTTCCGCTGGAAATTATTTCCTTCAGGTCTTTTTGTTCTTAACACTGCTAGT